CAGGGGAAATTTAGATTTGTCTAGGAAGCTAATTATTTTGATCTATTATTTTGATGCATAGGAGGATTTTCTTCCCGTCTTGGCAATGACATTAAGAAATTCCATAAATTTTTTGCTTTGGCTCTCAGAAGCTGACATAATGATAATGAATAATAATGTTAAAAAGTTTTCCAGCTGGGTTTAGTGACACAAACCTGTAGTCCCAGTTACTCCAGGGGCTAAGGTAGGAGGATTGCAAGTTCGAGGCCAGCCTCAGCAACATAGACAGACCCTGCCTCAAAATAAAAAATAAAAAAGGGCTAGGGATATGGCTCAGTGATACGGTGTCCCTGGGTTCAGTCTCCAGTCGTATTTAAAAAAAAGTTTTCTACTTTCATGCCTCAGTATCTAAAAATATACATTTATGAAACGTCTAAGAATGTCAACATGACATGACTTGTTTCTGGTTCAAGAAGTTTCATATAGCAAACTTTGAGGAAGGCTTATTATATGGTCAATATTGGTTGTATAGGATGTATAATGGAATAGACTAAAAACCCATTCCCAATAAAGAGCCTATCTGAGATGCTATTCTGCAGTAGCTTGCGAGGTTGAGACAGGAGAATCATGAGTTCAAAGCCAGCCTCAGCAAACACAAGTTGCTGAGCAACTCAGTGAGACCCGATCTCTAAATAAAATACAAAATAGGGCTAGGGATGTGACTCAGTGGTTGAGTGCTTCTGAGTTCAATCCTTGGTACCTGCCCCCTCCCCTAAAAAAAAAAACCCTTTGTTTTCTCTTCACTCAAGTAAAAATTTTGATTCGACGTGGACATTTCCAAATATTACATATACAATATTTAATGTGCCTTAAAAACTCTCTGACCTCTTTTTCCTTCTCCCAGAAAATGAATTATTTATAATTCTTTTCATAAAGAGATAATCAGCTAAAGAGCTTTCTTAAAGGTGGCAAAACTGAAAAGCAAATTAGTTTTATGATTCCAAAGAATTAGCTGACTATTCATTTATTGTAATGTTTTCAGACTACTTTAGAACTCTCAAAGGAAGAATAATGGTCTAGTATAGTGCTTTAAAGTTTCCTTTATGGACAGAGTAAGGCATTTAATCTTGACAGACTCAATTGTTTTTGATTTCTTGCCATGTATATCCATCATAGAAATAGTAGTTGTGATTAATAGCATTTTGTTCACTAACCAAAGGCATTTATAATGTATACATGGATAATATTCTAAAATGGAGAATAACATTAAAGTTAAAAAACTTTAACAACTAAAAAATTAATATCTGTTGGGGAAAGAGGGCTATAAATGTACTTTCAGGAGAGATGGAAAATAATTTATAGATTTTCATGAATTTTAAGGAGAAAGTGGATGAATACATATTTAAGAGAGAAGATTCTCTTAAATAGATCATTGTAAATGGTTCATTAGTTAAAAAGATAC